TGCTCTGAAGATTATCCGCAACGTGGGCAAGTACCGGGAGGCTGCCCGACTAGAAATCAACGTTCTCAAGAAAATCAAGGAGAAGGACAAAGAGAACAAGTTGTGAGTGTCAGCAGGGAATGGGAGGAAAGCTTTCACTGGGGACACCTTTCCAGTCCAAACTGCCTGGACCCCTGGGGGCTGAGCAGTAGTGTCCTCTCGCCTGGCTGGCACCACGCCTTCTCCATGCACCAGAGCCAGAGCAGTCGGGCGACTGAGTCTTGCTGGAAGGAGCCTTTGGACTTCAGTCCAGGTTCCACCACGACCAGTTCTGAGTTCTCCCAGGCCTGCTTTTGTGGATTGAGGGCCTCACTGGGTGTGGCGGGCATTAAACAAGATGCAAACTGGAAGCTCATTGGGGCTCACAGTCACACCCAGAGGACAGCTGCCCTGGCACACAGGCACCGAGCCCTGCGCTCGGGAATCTCCACTGCGAGTTGCAAAAGGCACTGCTAGTCCTGTAGTGTCCCGGCACCATTCCATCTTCCTTGGAAATGCCAGAATTATGCTCACCTCCTAAGTAGGTGAGGCGGGAGACCTGGGACTAGAATGCCCTCCACCTCCCCCCCACAGCGGGAACTTCAGTCCTTGCCAGGATCTGCGGGATGTGCTCTTGCTGTTAACTGGTTCTCTTTCTTCATGTGTGTCTACATCAGGGGGTGTGGCTCAGGGGCCTGTAAGGGGCACAGCCAGGTCCTTGGCATAGAGTCTGAGCCCCATCTGTCCTTCTCCCCCAGCTTGTGCGTCTTGATGTCTGACTGGTTCAACTTCCATGGTCACATGTGCATTGCCTTTGAGCTCCTTGGCAAGAACACCTTTGAATTCCTGAAAGAAAATAACTTCCAGCCTTACCCCCTACCACATGTCCGGCACATGGCCTACCAGCTCTGCCACGCCCTTAGATGTGAGTATCCCCCCCACGGAGAATGGTACACCAGGTGGGAAGACCACCTGCATGCTGCTAACTGTTCTGCTGAGCCTGGGACACTGGGCCCCCTCGGCTCCACAGCCTTTAGGTATGAAATCTGCTGGTGGAGAGGTCTGATCTCCTCCAGGGGCCTTCTGAGCCAGCTTGTGCCTGTACACACTCAGAAAGAAAAAAAATACACTGCTCTAGAATTTTTCTAGCTACCAATTCCATTCCCACCTTCCAACATGGATGAAAAGGTCCAAGTGACCTGGGGGATCCCACCAGCAGCTCAGGCCAACAGACGCCCTCTGCCTGCCGAGCTTTAAGAAAGGATTGGTGGTGGTTGGAGCAGACACAGCAGGGCGCCCAGGAGAGTGGATGAACCTAGCACAGGGTCTGTGTAGGTGGAGGGGTGGTGAGGAGCACTCCAAGCGAGGCGAGCTGCTCGGCGATGGCCTGGAGCCTGGCGCATGCAGACACTGGGAAGGAGGGCCCACTCTGGGGCGCAGTGGACCACACTGCTGTGAGGGTCTTCAGTGTCAGGTTGGGAGCCTGCAAGTGAAAGGGCACCACCATTGGTGGGGCAGGGACTGGAGGAAAATGGCAGGTTTCCCTTAGGATGAGGGATGATGGGAGGCAGGGCTGGCTTCAAGGGTGGCCCTGTGCTTGGTTTAATGTTCTTTTGACACCAACTTGACACTGTAATTTTCGAAAAAGGGGTCCTGCATTTTCATTTTGCCCTGGGCCCCACAAAGGGTGTTGCTGATGCTGCCGCTTTGGTGAGAGACCAGGCTGAGGAGGCCTAGCCCCGCAGGGAGGTGGAAGGTGTTTTGAATCCAAAGTGTCTCCTGCCCCATCTTCTAAAATTCTCAAAGCCTCCAAGGCCCTAAGCACAAAGAGCCTCAGAGGGAAGCCAGTGCAGGGGCAGAGCTGCTCCCTCGGCCCAATGCTGAGGCCATGGGGTGAGGGTCTCTGGCTTTGGAGGACTGGTCTGGCCCAGCACCGGCAGGAGTCAGAGAGGAAACCTAGGCTCTGAGGGTCTGCTTTCCCCCTCTCCTGCCTTTCCAGTTCTACATGAGAACCAGCTGACCCATACAGACTTAAAGCCAGAGAACATCCTGTTCGTGAATTCTGAGTTTGAAACCCTCTACAACGAGCATAAGGTATCGGTGGGGAGAGGGTGATGCCCTGCTCCAGAGCTGATTTCCCCACTGGGAAAGATGGCTGACCTGGCTCCCCTTCCTTGCCTCTCAGAGCTGTGAGGAGAAGTCAGTGAAGAACACCAGCATCCGAGTGGCTGACTTTGGCAGTGCTACCTTTGACCATGAGCATCACACGACCATCGTGGCCACCCGTCATTACCGCCCACCTGAGGTGATCCTTGGTGAGTAGTCGCATGGCCCCCAACTCAAAGGCGGCCGTTGCTGGGAGGGTGGGATGAACAGAGGCAGCCATGTGCCCATCTGCCACCCAGGGCCACTGTCATGAGTCACTGTTGTTGCCAACCTGATCTGGCTAAGAAAGGGACCTGTACTGGGGTTTGGGCGAGAGTCCTGCCCATCAGTGTGGCAGCTGCCCTGTGACCCAGAGCTGGATCTCAACGCCTCTTTCCACTTTGGCTTTCAGAGTTGGGCTGGGCACAGCCCTGTGACGTCTGGAGCATTGGCTGCATTCTGTTCGAGTACTACCGGGGCTTCACACTCTTCCAGGTAAGACCCCCTCCCCGCCTCATTGCCCTGCTCCATGAGTGCTCATGCTCTGGTAGGCTACAGTGGCCTGGTGCAGGAGACCCTCCAGGGCCCCCCAGTCGGCAGGGTGTGAGATTCACTCTTGAGGGTTGTAGAAGTTCAGGGCAAGGCACAGGTAGTGGAGTGGGAGCACTCGTGGAGTCTAAAGCTCAGCCAGCAAGCGTGGAGGATTGGGGCTGGAGGAGTGAGAGTTTGAGGCAAGAGACACAGCACGAGTGAGGATGTGGGGATGGGCTGGGGTCCAGGGAGAGTTAAGAAATGGCCTTTATCCCTGGCAAAGGGTGGCAGGCTACCATAAGGTCAGAGAGGCTGGGAAGACACTTAGCCATCTGCTTTGTCCTCTGTCCTCCCTGAGGGGCTGAGGCTGACCCTCACTTGCTCTGTCCCTGACTTTCCATAGACCCACGAAAACCGAGAGCATTTGGTGATGATGGAGAAAATCCTAGGGCCCATCCCATCTCACATGATCCACCGCACCAGGTAAGCCCTGGCCCATAGGCCTTTCCCATCTTTGGCTGAGGGTCAACAAGCTACTACATGGTCTTTGCAGAATGTCCCCTGGCTCCTCTGGGCTCATGGCTGCCTTCCCTGTACGCCCCTCCAGGCAGCCTGAACAGCCCCGCTGCCCAGATCTCCCTGCCCTGCGGGGTCAGCCCAGGATTCCCTGCCTGACTTTGCTGCCATCCTTCAGCTGCTGCTCTCCCCGGCCCCACCTGCTCCCTTCCACCATGACCACTTCCTTCCCTTCATTTTCAGGAAGCAGAAATATTTCTACAAAGGGGGCCTGGTTTGGGATGAGAACAGCTCTGATGGCCGATATGTGAAGGAGAACTGCAAACCTCTGAAGGTCAGTTTCTGGCTTCCCCCAGCTCAACTCATGCCATGGAGACCCCAGGCACTGGGCACACATACAGCAGAGAGACAGGCCAGGCAACTAAAGGCTGCCCCCTTGCTCCTGCTTTATGGGAGGCTGCACCCAAGGCTGCTGGGCGCTGGCAGTGGGGCTTCTTCCAGAGGGGCCCTTAGCCCTACCCCTTCCTGACAGGGTGACCATGAATGTAATTGGGTAACACCAGAAGAGCCAAGTAACAGAGACCATGCTGCTTCTTGCCCCCCATCTTCTTTCTGTTTTGGGAAGAACTAGGCAGGACCAAGGTGAGGGGGAGGGAAGACTTAGACATGCCCAGAAAGCCTCTGTCAACTGCATTTGGTGCTCGGACAGTGAATTTCGCAGAGGTGATTTCTACCCACCTGTCAGGACTTTGCATGTGGGGACAGAGGCACGAAACCAGCAAGACACCCAGTAGCCTGACACGTTCAGAGCAAAATGCTCTAACAGGCATGAAAAGAAAGGAGCCGCTCACTGTCCAAGAGGGCAGACGTAGTCCTCCAGGAGGTGTCACTGCCTCCTCAAGCCATGCAGCAAGGTTCCACGCCCCTGCCATCACACTGAAGGCGCCTTATGTCCCTGAGCAGAGTTACATGCTCCAAGACTCCCCGGAGCACGTGCAGCTGTTTGACCTGATGAGGAGGATGTTAGAGTTTGACCCTGCCCAGCGCATCACACTGGCGGAGGCTCTGCTGCACCCCTTCTTTGCTGGCCTGACCCCTGAGGAGCGGTCCTTCCACACCAGCCGCAATCCCAGCAGATGACAGGCACAGGCTACTGCACGAGGCGGAGGAGATGGAGAGTGGGACTGGGCTGCCTGGCCCCCTTTCTCCAGCCTCTAACCATCGGGCCCCAGGGCCAGAGCCACCCAATGAACAGTGCAATGTGAAGGAGGCAGGTGCCTGCAGGGGCGGAGATGCGATGCCCAGCTGCCAGAAAGCACAGATTTGACCCAAGCTATTTATATGTTGTAAAGTTAAAATAAAGTGTTTCTTACTGTTTGTAATCCCTGGTACCAGTGTGTCTCCGGGCTCCTTGCCTTCACCCTTCCCTATCTTACTAATAAAGTCTTTCTTAGCAGTTCAGCTTGTGGAGAGCTGAGTGTGAACTGAGACAGGCAGACCGGAGCTAGGGTGGTCCTCTGCACCCAGGAGAGCAGTTTTAGCTTTGAGTGGGGTTGCTGAATAGTCCTAGAGGGCACTCGGGTCTCTGCCTACACCCGTTCTCCTGCTGGTCCTTGTACCTCTTCAGCTGTAAGGAGTGTAAAGGGGAAGACCCCACTGTGGCTCACCAGGCAGCATCTGGTTTTACCTGTCCCAGCCCTTTTAAGCCTAGGACAAGATTGGCTCCTAGGTAGGTCTGAGGTGGCAGTACCTCCCTGCAGCCTACAGAGCACAACATACCAGAGACAGGACTCTGTCATTGAGCTTTATTTTACTGCTGGTTTTTAGTTCCCCAAGAGGTGCATGAGTGATCCTCTTGACCACATGACTGGGACCCCTCAGAGACTGGGCATGGCAGGCAGGATGCCTCTGAAAAAAGCCAAGGACAGAGGAATCATGCTTATCTATAGTACCCCTGGGAAAGGCCCAGGCTAAGGGCACAAGGAGGCTCCAGTGCCACCAGGGAAGAAGAAAAGAATGTGGGCAAATTACTAGTGGTTCCTCGAGGCCATCACCCCCCACCCCCCACCTGCAGGGCCACCACAACTTACTAGAGTGGGTAGTCTTTGGGGCCAGGGTTCTTCTAGCTTGTTTTCCACTGTACCCACTCAAGGAACCTATGCACACTAATAGGCAGCCAAGAACCTGTTGACTGGCTGCTCACTAAAAACCCTGGAATCCAGCACCACTATGGCCCTGCCCCTAGAGTAAGGGCCCCATCCTGGTAGCTGCTGGGCCCTGAGAGTGAGCAGAGGCTCAGGGAGGACACAGCACAGGGTAACTGTCTGGTCTCCTCCCACTGCTGGAGACAAACTGCGGGATAGGAGGAAAAGAGGGACCAGCCCCCTCTGCCCTGCCTCCTGTTCTGGCCACACTCCTGTAAGGAAAGTGATTCGTACCCCTAGGCCACAACCCATGGTGAGCCTTCCCACTCACCCCTTTAACCAGAGTACATAGGCACAGAGCAGAAGGAAACCTGGAGCCCTGAGAAAGGCTTTAGATCACAAGTCTGCAAGGGCAGCTGCCAGGAACTCCAGGGCATGGCTCCTATTCTACCAGCTCCCAGGGCCTAGGCCGACAAGGTCCAGGGGCTTAGTGCCTTAGAGCTGAGCAGCAGTGTGTTCCTACGGCTGAGCCCCACCAGCTAGCTCATCCAGAACTAACCGCATTTTGGCATCTCTGAGATAGGGCGGTGGCCCCAAGCCTACTCATGTAGAGTGGACAACCACAAAGGATTCAGACAAGGGAGGGATGTGCAGCTACAGAGGACCGACCATTCCAGAGGGCAGAGGGAGCAAAACAGTGTGGGTGTGTATGTGCAGGCAAGGTGGGGGGAGGGGCGGCCTAGGACAGAAGCACCGGGGAGCTTCTTGTGGCTCAGCACCAGGCCCCCCAGCCTCCCCAATACTGAACATTAAAGCTGCAGCCTGAGGGGGCTGGTCCCAGACTAAGAACAGGCTCAAGCCCCAGCTAGAGAGGGTGTGGGGTTGGGGAACACTGCTGGCAAGATGGGCACTGTGGTTCTATAGTGACAACCATACTACCTGGGCTGAAGACAAACATAATGTAAAGCCCCAGTACGGTAAAACCATCCCGATGCCACCCCCTTCCCTGTCTCTCAGAGTGCTGTAGAAAGGAGGAAGGACCCTGGGAAAGAATCCCAACATTAAACTTGGATCAGCTCAAGAGAAACGGTCAAAGCCTCCGAATCAAGGGTCAAGGGGAGGCCCCACAGCCCTCAAAAGGAATGGGGAGTGCAAGTCTGCCCTCTGGTGGACAGCTGCAGCACAGCCAGTTGTGTGTGATCAGAGGAGGGGGACACAAAGCCACCAGCACTGAAGTAGCAAGTACACATCCCCAAACAGGCCCTGCCCCACTCTGCAAGGCGCCTGCCCAGGCCCAGTGGCTGTAAACCTGACACACAGTTTGTGAGCTGCCTACGTCTGTAAACAAAACCCCACGCAGGGGGTCGAGTGTAGAGATGCCTGGAGCCACTGAGCGCTCAGCCTGCCACCTGTCTCACACACCCAGTGGGAAAGCCTTTCCTGGTGAAGAGCAGGTGACAGTTCAGCTTTAAATATGATTTGTTCTCTCACAAAATAAACCCAAACAAGAAAAGATTTAACAAGGTCCATGAAGCTTCACATCCTTAAGGCGTTCGTTGTCAAGTTCAGTGTCAGGAGCAGCAGGGGACTACAGGGTCCAGCCTGTCCAGAGCCCCTCTAGGCAGAGTGCAGTGGGATGACAAACTTGCAGCCAAAGGGTGAGTGGTAGTTGATCCCCACCTCGTGGAATACCTGCTGGGGAATGCCAATGTCGCACAAGTAGACGCGGCCTGCGTGCTCTCCCAGCGGCAGAGGCAGGCCCAGAGCCAGTGACCACTTGGCGTCGATGCCCTGTTCAACTTCATGCACAGGAGGATCTATGCTGAGTACTGGGGCCCGGTTCTGGTTGGCCCATGCCACGGCTGCCTTGTACCAGGGCTGATCCCGCAGGAAGGCATTCTCGGGACAATCCAGACAGTTGATCACCAGGTCCACAGGGCTAGTGGGCAGATCTGCAGATGCAAAAGAATGTCATTGGAAAATCCCTCTAAGCAGAGGACCCAGGCTGGGAATAGAACCCAGGTGGCCCCCTCACAGAAATGGGTCCTTCCTCCTTGCAGCCCAACCTTAAGAATTTGGAGGGAACCTATCAGTTCTCCCTGGTTAGTTCTCTGCTCTAACCAGGCCACTGGGACAGTGTAAGAGCATGTAACTCTTGCCCAGGCTAAAATTAAACTGAGAATGTAAAAAATCGGCCTGGCTGGTGTAGCTCAGTGGATGGAGCACAGTCCTCTGAAGCAAAGGGTTGCTGGTTCAGTTCCCGGTCAGGGCACATGCCTGGGTTGCAGGCCAGGTGCCCACTGGGGACACATGAGAGGCAACCACACACTGATGTTTCTCTCCCACTCTTTCTCCTTCCCTTCCCCTCTCTTTAAAAATAAATAAATTAAATATTTAAAAAAAAAAAGAATGTAAAAAATCATATCAAACCCCAGGGCTGGCATCCTCAGGTTTGCTTGCCTCCTGGCACAGCTGGGACGGAAAGCCCTTACGGCAGCCAGAGAAAGAACTGCTCGAGATGGGCATCATGTTGTAGATTTCAAGAGGGGAACCCAGGGCAGGCCCCCTTCCCAGCTCTCAGCCCGAAGTAATGCTATTTCTCAATGGCAGACCCACGGCTTCCTTACTTAGACCGGGCCCCAGGGTCTCTGTGCCCGCAGGTAACTGGCCTAAGAGATCTGGCCCCAGCTCTGGCCCCAACTCACCATCTGACCCCTGGCAAAACTCTTTCTCTGGGTCATATATGTTCTCTCCACTTCTCCCCTGTTCTCACTTAAACCGACTCCAGTCATACTTTAACCCCACTACTCCCCTTGAAACTGCTCTTCCACACTGCTAAATCCAGTGGTCAATTCTAATTCATCATCTGAACTTAACCTAGACTACCTTGCTCACACCACTCATGCCCTCCTCTCTTCACTTGCCTTTCAGGTACTTGCCTCTCCTGGTTTTCCTTCTCCTTCACTGATCACTCCTTCCCTGTACCTTAAGCTGCTCTCTGCCTCCCTGACTTCTACACAAACAGTCTAACAACTTCTCTACCCACCGTCTCTTCTTAGGAGATATCTTATCCAGGTTCGTACGACTCTAAACACCACATCCCTTTGCTGAATTCCAGACGCACTGACATATCAATCGACAGTTCCACTGCCATATCTGGCAGCATCTCTAACTGAGCTTCTGCTCTTCTCCCAAGCCTTCTCATCTCAGTGATGGTACCCCCACCCTTCCAGTCCCTCGGGCCAAAGACCCTAGAGTCACCCTTAACTTCTTTCTCTCATCACCTTCATCCAATCTGTTCACTCTACACTCAAAACTGATTCAGAAACTAACCACCTTTCACCATGTCCACTGTCTCAGCCACCACCATCTCCAGTTTATCATAACAGCCTTTAAAAATACATTTCCTAATAAAAATATTTGTTTATTTAGCAAGAGACATACACAGACACTGATTTGTTTTCCACTTATCTGTGCATCCACTGGTTGATTCTTGTATGTGCTCTGATGGGGAATCAAACCTGCAACCTTGGTGTATGGGACGATGCTCTAACCGGCCAGGGCTCGTGGCAGCCTCTTCACATCTTTTCAGAAGCCTGCAGTCTACTCTCAAGCAGCAGCCAGAATGACCATTTGGAACCAGAGCTGGAGCATACCTTTCTTCTACTTACTCCTTCAGGGACTTTCTACGTCACCCAAGTCAGAGTCTAAGCCCTTCAAAGGACCCACAGGCGCTTTGCAGCCTGGCCCTGTAATGTCTAAGTCTGTACTCCTCACCCTACCCTCCGACACTCTCTTCTCTGCTTTATGTTTCCACAACACTGTCACCTGACCTAATGGAAATGTTACTTATTAGTTTCTTCATCTGTCCGAACCTGAATATTAAGATTCATGGAAGCATGGATTTAAGGGGGAAAAAAAAATCTATTGCCCTTATCCCCAAGTGTCAGGAACAGTGCCCATTCTGTAAATATCTGTGAAGTGAATAAATGGGTCCCCAGCTCTCCATCTGAGTATGGGACAGTGAGGGTGAAAGGGATAGGAAGTAGGCAAGTCAATACCAAAGTTATTTCCCATTTGCACAAGCAGAGCACTTTATCCTCACGATGCTTTTCCACATGTCACCACTGGGTGGCACCATCAGACCATCGAACTACTTGAGGGAGGCTGCCTCAGCACAACCGCGTGCAAGTGCTTACCTTTGAGACTGGACACTTGTTGGCCTTGGGTCTTGCTGAAGAGAGACAGCTCATTGGTGATGGACTCTAGCATCTTGACAAAGTTGGGCAGGAAGAGGATGACCTGGACGTCATGGTTGGCTAGATGTCTCCCACAGCTGATACCCTGAGCCCCCTTCACATGGGGCCCACAAAGCAAAGCCACGGTAGGCCTCTGGTGGACATTTTTTGGATTCAACCTGGAACAGAAGTGAAGAGGCAGTCTCAGTCACAGCCTTGGCACTCCCTTGCACCCTAAACCGAGTGAGTGTCTCGCACCTGTTGCTCTTAGGAGTTCCCGACAGTCCCAGGTTCCAAAGGGGCCAAAACCCACAGAAGGACAGGTCTACAGGGTGTCCCACACTGCACCTGCTGGGCCTTCTCACCTGGTAGTTTACCCGGACCTTGCTCCACAGAACACCACTTTTGACCAAGAACGTTTACTGCCCTCACACTGCAAACCTATCAGACCCAAACTCTGTAACAGACAGGCTTTCCCACCTCAACACCCTCTTTGCTTCCCTCCCCAATATGCCTGCTCCCCTGGGGCAGGTCTGGTCTCATTCTCGCCTGTACTGTTAAAGCTTTCTTGCTTCTGCTCAAACTGTGCCCCTGCCCAGAAAGCCCACCTTTTCTTTGAGATCCAGCTCAAGGCTCACCTCTTCTAAGATTACCCTGGCTCAGCTCCTAAGAAACTCACAGCAAGTACCAAACAGGATAGCTCTGAATCGTCCTCAATCAGTATCCAGCCAAAGGGGAAAACCCTGCCCCCCAAATAAATTTGGGGGTAGTACCATTCATTTCCCCCACTACATCTGCATCTTAAGGAAATATGGTGAGTACTCCCTTCAGACAGACACTGTCAAGTTCTGGCATATGACTCACCCATGTCTGTTTCCTAAACTCTCACACAGGTATCAAAGCAGACTATGGCACCCACACATGCGACAATGCGGGGCAGAGCACAGGCCCTGAAAACAGAGCTGTCCCATCAGAGACCTGCTCCATCCACCTCATATGTGCAGGATCACATGGGCAAGTCTTTCAGCTCTAGCTCTCTGAGCCTTAGCTGGCTTGTCTGAAAACACCGGGCTACTACTTTATCCTCGAGGAGAAGCCACAAGTATCAAATTCAGCACTGTTCTGAAAGCAGTGAGGAACTGCATGATCCTTGACATACATGAAAATGACTACTAACGTGGTAATCTTTTTCAAAGAAAGCCAGTAGCTGCTGCAAAGGGCAGGCGAAGGCATTTCTAAGAGTTCATACAGGCACAGGGACAGCCAATCGCAAGAAGCTGGCTTGAAAGGAATTTGACTTTGTGGGAACATTCCAATCCTGCCCCAAAACTACTGTTTCTGTGAAGCCGCTTAATGGTCTCAAATACTCCCAGGAAGAACTTACTGCAGGAGCTCCCCAATGGCCACTTTGGGGGAGGTGTGGCAGTCACCAGGACAAAGGGCCTGGTGTTCTGTCCACAGGCAGCTGGCGCTATTCCTTTCTTTTGTGTGTGTGTGTGTGGGGGGGGGAGTTGCTCTCCATTGGCTCCTCCCTGTTACAGGAGAGGCACAGTTGAGAAGCAAGCCTAAATCAAGGGCCAGGAGGAGTAAACACATCCACAACTTCACAGGGCAAGGGGAATGGAGGGGCAAGAAGGGGAACCTCACATCCAGCTGCATCACTTTAGACACCACTCTCCACAAGGCTGCCACTGTCCTCCCTTTACAGACAAATCCAGCAGACACCTGTCAGCTCTACCTTTGCTCGATCTCTCGGCAGTACCACTGCTGACCATTCCTTTATTCTTCAAACTCTATTGCTTTGGTTCTGAAGCACCATCCTCCTGGTTTTCTTACCTCTCTGGCTTTCTCTCTCAGCCATTCTGGAAGGCTCATCTCCTCACCGTGCCTTCAGTGCTGACGTTCCCCAGAATTCCATCCTAGGCCCTTCCTCCCTGCATACCTGCTCTTTACAGGATCTCGTCTACTCCACACCACCTACGGGCTGATGACTGGCAGGATCTGTCTTCTGCTCAGACCTTCTTCTAAACTAGATGCAGACTGCTGATGCTCTATGTGGCTATCGCACAGGCCTCTCAAACTTAACAGTCAAAACACGATCCCACCGTTTCCTCCAAACCTGCTCCCCTTCCCACGTTCCCTATCACGGTTAATGTTATCGCTATCCGACAAGATGTCCACGTGGGAAAGCTCGAAGTTCAGTGACTACGGGCACTTCACTTTCCATCACCTCCCACATCCATGCAATGACCCTGCTCTGTTGATTTTATCTTTTAAAAAAATCCCTCACCTATCTCCACTTCTTTGATCCCTATTTCCCTGGTTGCTAAGTCTTGTTACAGTGTGCATCCAGTCTTGCCTCCACACCATCTACTCAACCAAAGTCATCTTTGTAAAATCATGTCACGGCCCCACTGAAATTCCTTCCACAGCTCCCTACCGCTCGGCTGCACCGAGGCTCTGCTGTCCAGCCAGAGAATGACTCACGGCCCCACCACTGCCACGGTCTTTCAGTTCTCTATGCTCTTGGCACACACTACTCCCCAGACCTACTCTCCCCGCTCCTGCTGCCTGTTAATGGCACTTGCTCTGCAGGACGACTCAACCTGGATGCCCTGCTCTAGGAAGGCTGACTGGCTTCTTCACCTGGGAGTAGACAGAATGTGGCAGCTGGAGAACCTTCTGCTTCCTCTACCACAGCATGGTACTTTCTGGAGGCCTCGTTCGGTTACTGCAGGGCAGGAGCTGTGTTTTATTCTTCCCTGTATCCCTAGTCCTAGCGCAAGGCTGGTACACAGTATCTGTAAATGTCCACAACTAAAATGAAGCGCTGCTCCCACTACATGAACCCAGAGGGCAGGCGGGAAGGTGCCAGGCTCAAGCTCTCCCACCCAATTGTCAGCGTGGCTCTGGAACTCAGGACTGATTTGCATCCGGCCCTGGGAATGACAGGTACCAATGGCTGGGTCTCTGAAGGTTCTTAGAAGGCAGGCCTCTGACAGTCAGCAACAGTCACCAGGAAAGAAAAGGTCAAAGGGTCGCTTACTGCGAGAGGAACGAGGACTTCCCGGAAACTGGTTAGAGAAACAAACAAAAACCTCCAGCATCTAGGAAAGTGACTTCATAAAGGTGTATCCATTACATAAGCAGCAATTGCCTAATGAATCCCTCCTGTGTGAGAGACCGTGCAGGGCCAGGCAAAGTGACACCAACCCACACCTGGTTGCTGCTAATCCAGTGGCATTTACCTGTTGGGTCCTCCGAGCAGAGTCAGTGCCATCTGACTGGCACACACACCTGTCATCTCCAGTCTCCGCTCCAAAGTCAGCCCATGCTTTTCAGCCACAGAGAGCAGCTTTTTATGTAGCTCATAGGAGACACTTGGGACAACCAGGCCAGAGTCTGCAGTTCAAAAGAAGAAATGGAGATAAAGGGCAGTGATTACAGGAAACCAGGTCCACAAATGGGTGTGCTCAATCCAGGATTCTGTGAGAGCCACAATTTGAGAACGGCCCTCCCCTCACCATCTGCCTCACTTGGGACCAGGGCTATGCAGCCCCAGAGGCTCAGGTGGTGACGGGGAACTAAGCACCAGCTTGTTCAGGTTACCACAGAGCGGGCTTTGTGAAGTTTTAACCATGGAGGCCAAATCTATCAAGATATATTTGGTACCACCAAGAAAAGGTGGGCAGAGAGCTTGTGTTCGGTAACAGCAACCTACAGACCCCACCAGAGGAGAACATGCTCGTCCCAAGAGCGAGAAATGCTTCCCTGGAGGTGGGGTTTCCTTACAAGTAGAGCCCTAACCCTCCCCAGAGCCTCGCCCCCCAGCCCGCTCAGCCCGCTCTTCTCTTTCAGGACGGGATGACTTGTTCGTCTGCTCTCATCCACTCCCCTCCTCTCTTCTACTCACCCGTTCTCTTTGCTGAAGAAATGTCAATTAGCAACTTGTTTTCTCCCAGAATTTGGCAGCTCTGCCCACCTGGAGTGAATGCGACACAACACTCACACCACGGGGACGAGCACATGGAAAGGAACCTATGGCTTGCTTTAAGCTACTCAGAACCATATCATTTAATGCCCAGGTCTGTGGTGGCCGGCACACTTGCAGGAGTCGTGGTGTCACGTATCCACACCAGTATCGACACCACGTGCCGCTTTTGGGCCCAGAAAACCAGGACAGGAAACAAACAGCAAAGCCAAAAACGCACCATAAGCAGCTCTTGCCCTGACAACCAACGCCACCTGACAAACACTAAAAGCCACTGGGAGCGGCCCTTCCACCCGAGAGGCTCACTGGCTGGCTGACTGACAAGGATCCCCATCACCAAGTCCCCACGGACTGTGTGTAACCAGTTCTGTGTGGCCACGTCAGACATCTTTTTAGGGCCTGTGCCATCACCTACGCTGGACTGTCAGCTCCTCAAAGCAGGAAAATAACCTGCACCTCTTGGTCCCCCACCGCCTCGACTTGGCCTACCTACATTTGCCAACAGATGTGAGCTCTCATCGCATATTCAAACGTGTAAGTGATGCGGACCCAGTGTTACTTCTGCTCTGATCAAACTCTGAAGCAGAAGTTCACCATCATCCTACTGGTCCCAGAGCTGTGTACAGAAAAACTTGTCTTTCTCACTGAACATTTCAGCAGAAATTTCTTGAGGGTCTATCAGGCATCCAGTCCTGCCTACATAGATTATTTTTTAAATTCAAACTTTATTCCCAGGCTTCTTCAGCTTAATTAGCTACAAAGTGTGATTTATGTAGAAGCAAAAACTGAAAAGAGCTGCAGTGTCCAAGGGGCTTGGGCTTAAAAATAGTACAGATCTAGATTTTTACAGATCCATGAGCAAATTTGAAAAGGCATTCATAATATGAACAACTGTGAATTAAAAGACAACCAACAGAGCCACAGGGGGCGTTATCTCCTCTCACCCTTTCAGAAACGTCAGTTACCGATACACCCAGGTGCCAGTGCTGGAGGCTGCAGCCTGACCTTGCATGTCAACAGCTGATCAAAACAGTCATTTTTATGACCTGCTCCAGACACGCACACCCTGATTAGATGTCAGATCTAATTAGGAACCACTGATAGCAGTATAAAACAGCTGAAGGAATTCCTGGGAGCCCTAAGCTACTTACAATCCTAACCTGTCTGACAAGTCACGCACCTGCCCACATCAAATACCCTCTTTACCTGCACGGTCACGCTAGGGAGAGCTTTCCCTCAGGTCTGTGCACTTCCTCACCTGCTTGTTCTCTTTCTGTTGGATTGGAAACGGGCCAGGGCTGTGAGTGGTGGTCTGCTACCCTACCGTCAGGCTTACTCTCTGGGTCCAGGCCGAGCCCTTTCTGCTGCCCCTCCCCCCTCAGTTCTTAAAGGCACAAGAACTCACAGTACAGGGAGAAGAGGCTCACTCCTCACTCGCTGCACATGGCAGCTGGAAACCGTGTGGCTGTGTGTGGGGTGGGGGACACTGCTGAGGAACTCGCCTGTCTGTAGCTTAGGGAAAGACAAAGGCAGGGTCCTTGGCTCAGTCTGCTGTTACAGGCTGAGGATTCCACTGTACTCCACGGCTCCTGAGTGAGTGTGCAAGCACCACAGAATGCTTCTTTCAGCACTCACACACAAAGTCCACCCAGGCAGACTGGCTTATCACAAACAGGCAGGGGAAGTAAAACAAACTCCAAAGGAAGGGAACCAAGAACATATCGTGTAAACTGCAAACAATGACACCGCCAAGGCCTGAACAAGAGCCAAGCCTATTGTGTTTGGATTGGAAGGTGGCTCTGCATTGTTCAGGAGCCAAGGCAGTCACATCAGTGGGGAGGGTCTGTCTTAATGTCAATATGTATCTTACAGCTGTTGGTAAAAGGAGAAAGGCAGATGTAATCACAGTCAGTCTGTGATGAGCAGAGAACGTCTGAGGATCTGATCAACCTTAGGATATTGAGGGAACGGTTTAAGCACACTCAGTACAGACCCAGACAGAAGACCCTTCCAGATGGCACAACTCACTCCACAGCGGGAGGCAAGGGCCTTGGAACCGAATGGCCCCCTGGCATGCCTGTCCCTTCTGCACCCCTCCCCCGACACCTCCGGGCCTACCCTGCCCTCACAAACGGTACACCCTCCATCGTACTTCTGCCCTCACGCACTGCCCGGCACCACGGCCGAGCCTCCCAGTAGCCTCTGCACGGACATCCTTCCCTGTCCTTCAAAGTTCCCAACCTTCCTGTTAGTAACAAGGCTCCCGCCAGTGACAAAGTGTCCTCTCCTATCTACACCCAGTCCTCAAAGTGACGTGGCCTTTTAGTTGGACAGGCTGTGTGTGCCCCATGTCTTATCAATGAGGACCGGGGCTCATTAATGGGCCTGGGATTTACCCGGGACTGTGAATTCTAATTCCATTCCATGGTGGTCACACATTTGGTTGACGATATCTCACTGGGTCTTTTTGGGAGTGTAAAACCACTGGTAAATTCAGACCCTCGGATCCACAGCCCCTGCACATTTACAGTAAAGATACCACCAAATGCAATTTGGTGTCGTTATCTCTGAAAGGAGGACTCATTACAAAAAGTCCAGTGTTCCTGGTACTCTTCTTTAGGGTTCACCAGGCCTCCCATCATCTGGCCCCTGTAGACTTCATCCCTTCACCTTGGACCCAACCCTGACCATGCTCCAGGCACCTTGGCTGCCTTCTGGTTCCTAAATACTCCAGGTCCTTTTTGGGCCCCGGAAGAATGTCCCCCTCCTGGCACTCTCTTTTCCCTTCACTCCCTTAAACACAGGGCTGGTTCCTTACTCTCTCACATCAGAGCAGGTACCCCATGCTCTCAGCATGCTGCTTATTCTCTTCATCGTACTTAGTCCAGTCTGTAGATGGTTTGCTTTCTGGACTCTTTACTTCACCAGATGGTAAGCAACACAAGGGCAGTGAACACGTCCATCCTGTTCTAGTGCTGTGCCCCCTTCTTCTCCACGGGACCCTCAGTGCTGGCAGAGCGCCTGTGGGAAGAGCTACACAAATGCGTTGAAGGAGTGAATGAATGTGAAGAGACGGTGCAATGGCCTCGGGGCAGTCCATTCTGCAGCCGTAACCAAAGGCAGGCGTGGGTAAGAAGGGTCTGACTCCTTCCCCACCTCTTCCCTTCTCACGTACAACTAGGCCAACCCTCCTACCTGTGCTGCCTATCATTCCTTCAGGATACAGCTCCACTGAAAAAAGCTACAAACTCAAGAGGTAAAGGAGTTCCCAACAAGATTACGTATTAATTACAAAGGAAAAAGTATCTTTACAAAGAAATCTGATGGATATCTTACCAAGTGATCAAACTGAGCCCCAGTGGCGGGACAAACTGACAATGCGCACTCCACATGGAGATGCCCTGAGAGACAGAGCCCCGCCAAAACCCTGGGAAAAGCGTTTAACATGAATCATGTCAAAAGGAAACAAGCAGTAAGTCAAAACTAAAGGGTACTCTTTGTATCAACTCTCCCCCAATCTCCACAAATATCAGTATCACAAAAGGCAACACAAGCTGTGGAAAAGGAAAGAGATATGATACGATGTCAAGAGACAACTAAATGCCATGTGCCATGCTTGATTAAAAGTACAGCTAGGATAAGGCCAGCCAAGATGGAGGCGTAGGTGGAAACACTGTACCTCCTTGCACAACCAAATTTAAGGACAACAAAGATTTAGAAACAAAAACACAGCCAGAATAGACAGAAAACTGAACTGTACTGAAGTCTGACAACAACGAACCATTCATCCAGACCGGTAAGAGGAGTGGAGTCGGTGGCGAGTGGAAAGAGTGGCAGGAAGAGGCGGTGGTTGGCAGACCTGGGTGCAGGGAGGAAGCGACAGACCCAGTCAAGTGCGCAAGCCAGTTGGCTGACTGCGAACACACATTCGCACGCAGATAAACCAGGCAAAAAAACTGGCAGTGAGACAGACTGCTCAACCCAGGGCCCCAGAGATGGAAAATAAAGCCTAAAAGCACCGATTGAAAAAACTTTTGGGAGTTGAGGTGTCGGGAGATACTCCCGGCCTCACAGGAGATTTCGTTGGAGAGACCCACAGGGTCCTAGAATGTACAAGAGCCCACCCACCTGGGAACCAGCACCAGAAGGGGCCAATTTGCTCATAAGAGAGAGCCCAGCAAGCGCTATTGCTCCCTCTCAGACCCCGCCCCCACATCCAGCATCCCAACCCAGCAACTGGGTTGCCCTGCCCTGGTGAACAACACCTAAGGCTCCACCCCTCATACTAACAGGAGCAACCAGACCAAAACATTATGGCTCAAACAGAAGAACAAATCAAAGCCCCAGAGCCAATACTTTTAAGCAACCAAAAGATAGAGAATCTATCAGATGCACAGTTCAAAACACTAGT